CTGCTGACCTTAAACAACAAAGTTTTTATAAGTGTAAAGAGGAAAATGACAATATATCAGCGCTTCTTATAAATCAGCAAGGTGTAAAAAATAGTGCTTTGGTTTTCATTAATTTTCTTCTACAGAGTAAGACACCCAACGGCACACACACTCACCCGAGGTAGAGACAGGAACAAAAAAGGAGGTGAGAGATCATGCAAGAATCTGCAAAAGGGAGCCAAAACTGCGCCCTCTGACTGCAACCTCGCCCGGGGCTGAAAGACAAGGAAACCGCCCGGGCACAACAATTACAAGACGCCCGCCGGTTGCAGTCGGTTTTTCCCTGTTGTGTTTATACTTATGTGGGCTATGTGCACCTCATGCTGCTAATAAAGATTACATGATTGTTTTCCTATTTCAGTGTAGGACGTCAAAAGAAGACATATTTCTTTGTAAAATATACGTATATTCCAATGCAATTGCATGTGTGTACATAAGTATGTCCCTGAAATTTTTATCTCCATTCATGTATGTGTAAATATGTCTATAAATTTGTGTGATGTAAAATCGAATAGGAAAGGTAAAGAAAAAACGAAGAAACACTAAGAATATTGAAGAGGAACAAAACAACTAGAAACATAAAGTAAGGTGTCAAAAAGACAAAAAGTGAATAGAAAAATGCGATAAAAATCGGATGAGAAAAATGAAGATAAACGTCACAATAATAATAATAATAATAATAATAAAAATAGATGAAGGAGAGTGTATAATGCGTCAAAATCCGATAAACGCGAAAGAAAGACAAACTGAGAAATAAAAATACAGAAAACCGACAACAAACAGAAAATAAAGCAAAAAAAGTGAAAATAAAGAAACGTGAAAATAAGAGAAAGCGAACATGGAAAATGTGTCAAAATTGCGATAAAAATGCGAATTAGAGAGAAAAGTGAGAGAAAGAAGAGCATTTGAAAATAAGTACAAAGAAGTTTGCAAACAAAAAATAAGGCGAAGAAAAAGGAAAAAAAAAAAAAAAAAAACATGCTTCTAAACGCGATATAGAAAAGAAAAAAATGCGATGTAGTAAAACATGAAAAAGGAGAAATGGCGTCAAAAGATAATAACGTTTAAAAAGAACGAAGTAAGAGCATAATAACAAAATCGAAAGCCGAAAGGTTGCAATCCGTTTTTCCTGCTATACGTTTATTTAGGCTCGTGTATTTGTGTTTACATGGGTGTGCGTGTAGCCCGTGTGCAGCTCACGCGAGGACACTCCAAACTCCACCATATTTTCCTGCTAAAAACAAGCCCTCGTTCTGTTTTGTTCGAATCTCACCGAAAGAGTTGATTTTGGCGAGAAGTATTTGCGAGGATTATCGTCTGAAACAGCTGTCGTGGATGGAACGTGGACTGAAACCCGAAGCACTCAGGGACGCTGACCCCCGCGGTAAGAGAGGAACGACCCTATGGATAGTAAAGGAGAAGAGGAGAAAGGAGATAATGCGTCAAAATACGATGAATAAGCGAAAGATTGGAAAATTACGCAATTAATTAATCAAAAAAGGACATGCGCTAACACAACCGAAAATAAAGCGAAGAAAAGTGAAAACAAAGAAACGTGGAAAAGAGAAGTAGAAAAATACGTCTTAAGCAATCGTTCACTAACAACACGTACGTATATATAGATATTTCTATATGCATATATATATATATATATATATATATATATATATATATATATATATATATATATATATATATATGCGTATACTAGTGTGTGTGTGTGTGTGTGTGTAAATGTATGTACATATATACATATATATATATATATATATATATATATATATAGATATATATATATATATATAGATATAGATATAGATATAGTGTGTGTGTGTGTGTGTGTGTGTGTATGTATGTATAATTTAATTATTTATTCATTTATCTATATTTATAAAACACATATGTTTGTATATATGGATATATATGGATATATATATATATATATATATATATATATATATATATATATATATATATATATACATATACATATATATATATATATATATATATATATATATATATATATGTATATATATATAATATATCAATGCATCAAATCTCTCTATCCCTTGCAGCCGCATATTCAAGTTCTAATTTGAGGTGAAATTATGCAAGTAGAAAGTATCTGGCAACTCCTTGGTGCCGCGCCGGGCCGGCCGAGCGAGAGATCCCAGCCATTCGCTCTCTCGCCGCCGCCTGAAGAAAACGTGCAGCACTTTTCACGCGAGATTTCTTTATTTCCCTAAGGGCTGTATCATTACAAGGGCACGGACATAAAAAAAAGCAACTATAGATGTAATTGTCCGTATCACTGGACTAGAGAAGGCTGGCCATGGAACTAAAAAGCCTGCGAATTGTTAAAATGTGGCTGAGGCAGGAGACAGGAGAAACCTAGGACAGGGATTTCATAATGTTGAGCCTCGAAAAATGCCTGTCTGGATCCGCGTTTGAAGTGAAAAGCAACATGACACGAGAAGCTAACTTAGAGAATTTACTTTCTCTCTCTCTCTCTCTCTCTCTCTATCTATCTATCTATCTATCTCTACCTCTCTCTCTCTCCTCTCTCTCTCTCTCTCTCTCTCTCTCTCTCTCTCTCTCTCTCTCTCTCTCTCTCTCTCTCTCTCTCTCTCTCTCTCTCTCTCTCTCTCTCTCTCTCATTGTCACTACGCTAATAACTATTAACAATCACAAAGGTTATTGCAAGACGGAAATTATATTTGGCAAAATGACAAAAATCGAATTCATTCAACATCCACGCATTTTGTATAAATATTAAACGAAGTAAAAGAACAAATGAAAGTTGAAACATTTGAGAAAGAAAAATCACGCTTTGCGCTTCGCTTTTGTCTCCCAGAGAGCAGACGACATTTCCGAGCGGGTTATTTTACGAAAATGAAAGAAAAGGACGAAATTGGAATGAAACAATGCCAAAGGTGTGTTTGTTTGAGATTGGTAAGGGTTCTCTTGTAAAAGTCTAAGCTAGGTTGATATGAAACCGCTGATAGTGTCCAATTTGCTTTTTAACACGTGACAAGTCTTGTTCTGTGCATCGGGGGGGGGGGGGTAATAGGAAACAAAGACGCCCCGCTGTTCTTGTTTTGCTCGCATTTGATGTCATATATCTGGTGACTTTCCCCCCCCTTTTTTCACTTTTTTAAACTTTATGCTTTCTTATTTTCTACCGTCATTTTCTCTTCATTTTTATTTGGCCTTTTTTGCTACTTCCGATTTTTCTGTTTCATTTTCCATCTTTACGGTATTTAATTTCTCTTGACGCATTTTCTACTTTCGCTTTTTCTCATCTTCCCGCATTATTTATATCTCTTAGGTTCCTCTTCTTCAATTTTCTGTTTCTTCGCTTATTACCATATCTGTTCGAATATTGATTTACTCAAGATATACACATACATTAATGGACCCTGAATTTCACAGACATTAATGTACACACATACAATTACACGATTCACTGCAATATACGTTTATTTTACTTAGGAGAGATATGGCTTGTTCGGACGTTTGCACACGGCCCGCACGCACACGTCCAAAGAAATACATACACATATATAAGCCACTCTTTATATCTTTCTCTTCCTCTCTACGTCTCTCAATCTCCTTCATTCCATCTCTTCCCCCTTCTGTTTGTCTGTTTTTCTTACTCTGACTGTATGTCTCTTTCTTCCTTCCCATGTCTTCATCTTTTTCTCGGCCTCTGTATGTCCATCTCTTCCTTTCCATGTCTCTATCTCTCGTTCGTTCTTTTTCGTTGATCCGTATTTAATGTGCGTGTGTATGTGTCAGCATTTTTTTCACTGTATTGTGTACCTGTTCTCAGGTGTACTCTCCTAGGGGGAGGTGGAGGGGGGGATTCGGTTAAAAGACTGCTCTTTTACGCTTGTGAAATGTAGAAAATGTTGACGATGAACCATGATAGAGAAACAAGATGAAAAGAGAGAAAATGAGAACAAATTACGGGTAAATGAATCGATTCTGATAGACAAGTAGATATAGATGGGTTGGGAAATAAAAGAGAAGAAAATACAATAACTGCAACTGATGAATAAATGTATATATATCATATAAATGTATATATATATATATATATATATATATATATATATATATAATATATATAATATGTGTGTGTGTGTGTGTGTGTGTGTGTGTGTGTGTGTGTGTGTGTGTATGTGTGTGTATATATGTGTATATATATGTATGTATATATATATATATATATATATATATATATATATATATATATATATATATATATATATATATGTACTGCCTCCAATAAAACACTAGCAGTCAGTTAAACCTTTATTGTCATGTTCACAAGCTGGTAGGTATGAGCAGTGTATCCAACTTGCAAGATGACAACATACACGTACGCGTGAACGTGCACGTGATTGTGAGGTGAAAAGAGTGTGGCTAGCCCAAATCTTCATAAAACAAGAATAATTTAAAAGTACGCAGCACAAGACGTCTCACGTGGCTCTCTAGAGGGGCTCCGCGGATTCACAACAATGCGTTTTTTGTAGGGCGTTCGTACAACTCTAACGTCACTGTAGCCAACGTTACAAACTAAATGAAATTAAATAATCATTCTCATGTTAATACATTAAATCAATAAATTCTTGATCTAAATTCTATATATATAATATCAGACAAGGAATCCTTGATTCCTTTACACTCCCTGCCTGATATCAACAAATTTGATATCACTACTCTAATACTGATTAAATGACAAATAGGAACTGAAATGTGACTTGTTCAAATAAAAAATAGCTACTTAGCACCAGAAACCAAAAGAATTAACTCTGAAATTGGTCTTGTGTACACAACTGGGTTTCCATCTCTCATAACCTTTAACTCCACTTTCCTTACTTTGACATCTTCACTTTGGATAGCTCTTACAACAATTCCATATGGCCATTGTGTACGACAAACACTTCTGTCTTTCAATAACACAACAGCACCTTCAGTGAGACTAGGTTTTGCACAACACCATTTTCTACGTTCTTGGAGTGTGTGCAGATATTCTTTTTCCAACGATTCCAAAATATTTCTGAGAGGGCAGAAACACGTTTCCATTCTGTTTTCAAAAGGTCTTTTGTATCAATTTCTCCTACTGAATCTTCATGGTCTATTCCAACTTTCTGAGTAAGAATGGTGGCAGGTGACAAGATGAAAGGGTTTTCTGGATCAGTTGATACGTTTACTATTGGTCGATTGTTCACTATGGCACATACTTCTGCCATGAAGGTTGATAACACTTCATGCGTCAAAGTTTTATAAGGAGTTTCAGCTAGCATTGACTCTAAGATCTTCCGGCAGATTCGAATGAGGCGTTCCCATACACCTCCCATGTGCGATGAATGGGGAGCGTTGAAGATCCATTTAGTGCCTGTTTGGTACAGATGGTCTACTATCTTCTTTTCTTCCACATTTACTGCATCTATCTTGAGGCTATCAGTTGCACCAACAAAGTTGGTTCCTCGGTCAGATCTATACAGTTTAACTTTACCTCTGAGAGCTTCAAATCTTTTAAGTGCATTAATAAAAGCTGAAGAGGACATTTCTTCTACCAACTCAATGTGTATTGCTCTTGTTGTAAGACAAGTGAACAAAATAGCCCACCGTTTAGAATTTGCTGATCCACCACGAGTTCTGCGTGTCATTATAGTCCAAGGTCCAAAAGCATCAACTCCAACATTGGTAAAGGGTGGAGTATGTTCTAAGCGATCTGCTGGTAGATCACTCATCAACTGGACTTCTTCTTTACCTCGTAACTTTCTACACTGGACACAGGAGTGTAAGATTGATGAGATCCCTGTAATCCAATATCCACCAGATCTAACAGCTCCTTCTGTAAGATGACGTCCTTGGTGTCGAACACTTTGGTGATAGTGACGTACTATAAGTGTAGAAATATGACTTTTACCAGGCAAAATGATTGGATGTTTCTGGTAACTTCCAAGACTTGATTGTTGCAATCTTCCGCCAACCCTTAACACACCATCTTCATCTAAGTACGGGTTGAGAGCCATAATCAAGCTAGATTTTGGAAGATGCATTTTTGCTTCAAGAAGTCTAATTTCTTCTTTGTAAGTTTCCTTTTGAACTGCTTTGATCATAAATATTTCAGCTTTTCTGAAAGACTCTACACTTCTATCAGCTCTTTATAAAATGATTTGGCACATGCACATCTCTGCAATAAAGCAACAGTATTTACTAGGCGATACCACTCAGAGAACCTTTCAAATCTGTGACACCCAATTGATAAATTGTCAATCACACAGGTTTTAGCTGCCTTTACCAGAGCATCTGGCCTTACTTCCTTATCATCTTCTGGTTGAACTAGCTGTGGAGTTTCTTGAGCAAGATCATGACGCCTACTCAAGAATGTTTCAGGTCCTTTCAGCCATATGTCGTCACACGAGAAATCATTCACCATAGAGCGAGTTGCTCGATCAGCTGGATTCACAGATGTAGGAACATAATTCCATTGCTCTGGCTTAGTTGACCTGTGAATACGGTTCACTCTATTCTTTTGAACACGTAGAAGTACACCCAACAGAGAATTATTTAGGTCAGGACCTGTCATCAACACATCATTCAATGATGTACCTCTAAACTTAGCAGCAGAGTCAAAAACACACCTGATACGACTAGGTTTCTTTGGATGATACACTCCAAACACTGGAAGATACCAACATTCTTCATTTTCTTTCAAAGGTGGTGCTATTTCAGCATGACCTCTTTCCAAAAGCTTTTTCATAAAGTCTAGGAAATGTTCTCTTTTAACAGAATTGAACTGAAGACTCTTGGCTAGGCTATTGGCACGTCTCACAGCCATGGATTTATTGTTCGGTAATCTTTTCTTTAAGGGCTTAAAAGGTAAAGGTGCACTCCAGTTACCTGCTGGTTCTTTGACAAATTCTTTCTCCATTAACTTCAAGAACATTTTGTCTTCTGTGGATTTTCCAGGTTCGTCATCATTTTGGTTTGGTGAAACACTGTAGAACCAATATCATTTTCCTTGGTGTAAAACCGCTGTGATATCCTGTGTCTTCTTGTACACATATACAACTTGGACAAGGCTCAAGACCGATCAGGATTTACATATATTTTTACATTCACATTCTTTGTTGCGTGATGCTTCCCCAGGCAGACTTCACCTATAATTACCCAGCCTAACTTCATCTTCTGGGCAAAGGGTGTACCTGGTGGACCTGTTACTTGATCTAGTACATGGTGAGCTTCGGGTAGATCTCTACCAATCAATAATTGAATCTGAGCCTGATCATCAAGAGGTGAAATTTCTGAACCAATGTCTTTGAGGTGTGGATGAAGTCGAGCAATGTTGGGAGTTGGAATCTCAGTCCTATTATTAGGAAGTTCATCACATTCGATGACTGTAGGAAGGCTCATCTGTAGACTACCATCAACAGCTTGTATGCATAGTCCACCAGCTTTCCTTCCTGTCATAACTGAACGGCCAGAGCAACTAGTTATGATGTATTCCTCTGCCACAGAGCGAACATCAAAGAAATCTAAAAGCTCTCCTTTAGCTAAAGATTTGTTACTCTGATCATCTAATATAACATATGACTTCATACGCTTCCTCGGGTTACTCTCATGAAAAACGTAAACTGGCAAAATTTTAGCACAAGACTTTCCAGGAAATTCCTCACATACACCAGTACTCTTGTTGGTCACATCTAAAGCTTGTTCACGTACTGACTCTTTAACAACACTCTGCTCCGGCTTCTCCCTGCCATGAGCCTTAGTACTTGTCTCAGGAACAGACTGAAATTTCTTCAAATGCATAGCAGTGCAATGGTATTTACTTCCACAGTCTTTACAGGTTATGTCCTCTGGACAATCTCTACTTAAGTGGTTCTTCGAGATGCAACACTTAAAACATATTCTATTTTCTTTCAGAAGTTTCTTGCGTTCTTCTAAAGACTTTGACTTAAAGCTTTTACATTCATGTAGAGAATGGTTGGTCCCATGTATTATACATTTAAGGGCTTCTTCATCAGGCACTACAGTCTTCTTTGTAGTTACTTTAAATTTATCTAGCTTTGAAGTCTTGTCTGTATGAGATTTTACTTCTGGCTAAAAATTAAATCCTGGATCATTATGGATTTGTGCAACGTCAGAAATGAAGTCTACAAAATAAGAAAAGGGTGGGAATAACACACCTTGTGTTTTCTTGTAGTTGGATGCTTTGTCTCGCCATTTTCCTTGTACTGAAGGAGGTAACTTGCTTATCACAGGGTTTATTCCTGCAGATGTGTCAAAGTGTCCAAACAGTTTCTCGTAAAGTGGATTTTCTTTAAGCGACTGTACTTCGCAGAGAAGATCATGCAGATCATACAGTTTCTTGGGATCTCTGAACGTAACCTTAGGAAACTTTTCTAGTTTCTTCTTGATAGATGCTTCAATAATCTCAGGACTGCCATATCTATCTTCAAGCCTCTTCCATATCAACTTGATGCACTTACTTGGATCATGTATATTGGAAGTCCTTATACTCTGTGCAAATTTGGACGACTCAGGGCCCAGCCACCGGAGTAAAAGGTCAACTTCTTCCAAAGACGTAACATGCAGATCTTGAATGGTCTGCTGAAAAGTAGTTTTCCAAGGCACATAAGACTCAGGACGATCATCAAATGGACTGAAACGTGCCAGGGAAAGTTCCTTCTTCAAAAGGAAACGCGACAATTCTCCACAACAACTGTTACTCACAGGATTAGCCTTGGCATCACTGGGCTGACTACGAAGAGGTTGTATGACAGGCATAGCTTGTTCCAAAGAAGGGTTGAGATCAAATTCTGGTACCTTGTTCTGATCTTCCACGTACTGCTTGACACGACTTAAAGAATCTGCTGTCTCTTGTTGCAGGAGTTCTTGTGAAAGAACTTTCTGTTGTAACTGTACACCAGGTATTCTACCTGAAATAGATGACAACTTATCACTACTTTCTTCACACACTACTCTGTACTCAACTTCAGCCAACTGAGCATTGCGACGAGACACACATAATTCTAATTCCGCTTGAATTTCTGCCTCTTCACACTGTAACTTTTCTTTTTTTTTTCTTTATTTCTGCTTCTTTCAATGCACTTTCAAGCTTAACCTTTGTGGCTTCAGCTTGTATTCTTTTACTTAACAACATAGACACTTTCCGCAACTGATTTAGCACTTAATTTCTCCGAGCACTCAGACTTAACTTCTTCAACTGCATATCTTTTATCAAGATATTCTAACTCTTTCTTTATATCACGTATGATCACATCACTTTTTGCTTTGTACTTCATATAATCTTTCCTGCTTTCTTCCGTATTTGTTCTACTCAAATACTCTAAAACTGATTTACACACCTTGAATAAGAATCTAAGTTCTTTTCAAGAGCTTTCTTATATTCACTATCACTTTCTGCGGCTGCACCGCCTTTGTAATACCTTAACATTAGGTCTTCAACTGTACACTGCATTTGAGAGAGCTGATCCAAATATTTGGTGGTTGTGGAAATGTACAGTTCTCCTTTTTCTGTAAGGGCCCTTATTCTTGCTCCAGACGGTCTTGTTTCATCTGGGTCTAACTGTGGGTGGGGTTCCTGCTGTGGATCCTCCTCCGCTTCCATTTTAATGTGAACGTCTGCGTTGCTTGTAGTCGACATGCTGAACAATTCTCCTGAAGTTATTCGGCAAGATGCTGAGAGACTTTCCTTTGTTGATAGTTGTATAACTCTTCACTCAACAGAAGGCTGACTCTTTTCACTCAGCTTGTTAGATATCTCACTCTTCTCACTCTGGGCATAGAAGATGGCTGGCAACTATTTTCACAATAGGCTTGGAAGATGGCTAGCTACTCTTTGCACTGTAGCCTTAGAAGAAGGGCTAGCTACTCTTTTCACTGTAGCCTTAGAAGAAGGGCTAGCTAACTCTTTTCACTGTAGCCTTAGAAGAAGGGCTAGCAACTCTTTTCACTGTACTGCCTCCAGTAAAACACTAGCAGTCAGTTAAACCTTTATTGTCATGTTCACAAGCTGGTAGGTATGAGCAGTGTATCCAACTTGCAAGATGACAACATACACGTACGCGTGGGCGTGGATGTGATTGTGAGGTGAAAAGCTGTAAGAAAATAAATCTTCACAGTTTTGCAAATAAAAAGTTGTACACAAATAAAGTAAATGAATCAAACAAATATCAAATAATATTAATACAATATGAGATAGAAATATTAAGAACAAATCAATAGAAAATTATAAAAATACTGCAAGACTAGCATATATGTAAACATTAAACAAACAAATGACCTCATTCCTTATACTATTTTATGACATTTCCTGAGTTAATTAAGGCACTTTATAAAAGATCAATAACTAAAGACTAGATACTTTCATTAAATGAATAGGAAACAAAACATTATTCTTTGGTAAATAACTGAAATAAAGCTCGGTAAAAATATAAGAGTACAATAGGAATGGCACTTACTTATATCACATAATTTCAAGTTATATATCACGTAAAAGACACAACTTTGTTATTAACATATGCTCTAACATCTGAACAATACATTATTAACAGTATAAATAGTTGACTTACAGTGTGGCTAGCCCAAATCTTCATAAAACAAGAATAATTTAAAAGTACGCAGCACAAGGCGTCTCACGTGGCTCTCTAGAGGGGCTCCGCGGATTCACAACAATGCGTTTTTGTAGGGCGTTCGTACAACTCTAACGTCACTGTAGCCAACTTTACAAACTAAATGAAATTAAATAATTATTCTCTTGTTAATACATTAAATCAAATAAATTCTTGATGATCTAAATTCTATATATATAATATCAGACAAGGAATCCTTGATTCCTTTACAAAACCCCATTAATTTGAATCATCATCAAAGGTCTACCAGTCTTAATCTTATCAGTGACAGGTGCAGTTTCTTGTTGCTGCGCCCCCACATAGACATCATAAATTGCGCGTTCCCGAGGGATTCGCCGCGCGAGAAGCCGAGAACGGTCGCGTCCCGCGGGCCTCTTGAAAGGGAGAGTTTCGCATTAAATGACCTGTCCGGTTACACGAGTAGCAGCGGAGTAGATCATTTGACCCCTGAACTGGTCTTTGCCTCCCCCTACAATCTTTAGTGTCATGGGTATGCAAATTATGATACGAACAAAATGGCGACTTATGAACGCGTGGCGACATTGCGTTCGCCTTGTTCTCCGTTACTTTACCNGATACTTGGATTCTCTTAATGTGGGAAATATTACCTTCTATACTATGGGAGAAGATGGTTCGTCTTTTGAAATATAGAATCCAAATTTATTGTGTGTGTGTGTGTGTGTGTGTGTATATATATATATATATATATATATATATATATATATATATATATATATATATATATATATACACACACACACAATCGAGAGATATTCGTAATTAAGCTGCGATTAAAGATTATGTCGTGAAGGGACGGGAGTTTTGTTATGAATAATAATCAAATTACCGCCTGGCTTGTTAGTTAAAAACACATGTATTCTACGCCTTAATAATCAGCGTGGGAAAAGTGTAGCGACGAACTTTCCGATAAGTTCCTCACTTAGTTTCTTTCTATCTTCTTTCGCGTAATCTCTCTGTCTCTGTTCTTCTTTGCTTGACGGAGAATTTCCTACAGCTGTGAAGACGCTCGATCCAGCTCTGACCGCAATTGTAATGAAATGCGGCGTGGACGTCCGCAGACTTGTCGCTGCGAATAAGCTTCCTCTCATTCGGATTTTTTTTCCATCCATTTCTTTCCTTTTTCACTCATTATCACTTCACTTTCCCGTCACTGATTATCACTTTGTTTTAGTTTAGAAAGAAAATATAGAGAAAAATAATTATATTCCTAAAATTAAGATGACATTAGCAGTGTTAACAATGGTTTTAGCAAAACAAAAGTAAATATACAATAAATGCCTAATGGGAAAAGAGATAGACTGACAGCTGAAAAGAACAATAATAAGACATACTATTTTGAAACAAAAGCAGAACGGGAGACAAAATACGGATGAAAGGGTCGGCTGTTGAGCGTTTAAGAAAGGGAAAGGAAGGGGGGCCAAGGATAAAAGAGAGGGGGAAGAAGAGAAAGAGAGAACGAAAAGGAGGTTGAGGGGGTAGGAAGCAGCCACTAGTCCCCGCCCATGATCGTATTCTGGATGAAGGAGGAAATCCACGAGAAAAAGACGTTGATCTTGTCCGAAATGGTGGTGTTGGTGCTGACGCAGCGCCCCGGGAGGCCGCTCAGGAAGAAGGGCGGCGAGACGTCGCCCTTCGGCACCTCGGGGTAGCGACACTCCAGGCCGCGCCCGCAGCGCCCGTGCCACGCCCACTGGCCGCCGCACGCCGCCCCCGGACCCTGCCGAGGAGGAGGAGACTTCAAGTGGGGCTTGGAGTGTTTGCAGGCATTCTCTAACCCTCCATCTGTCTCTCTCCCTGTCTCACTCACTCTCACTCTGTCTCCATTTCTCTCTCCCTGTCTCACTCACTCTCACTCTGTCTCTCCATTTCTCTCACCCTCGTTCCTCCCTCCTACTCCTTCTCCATCTTACAAGAAGGCTCTGTTAGATTACTGTCCAAGAGCCAGGTCTGGAAATTTGTATTTATGTAACCCTTTTAGACATTTTTAGATTAAATAAACTGTTTAATTAAATAAACTCTCTTAATCCTCCTACATCTCTCCCTCCCTCTCTCTCCCTCTCCCTCTCCTTCCCCTTCCCCTTCTCCCTCTCCCGCAACCACCCACCTTGCCTCACACGAAGCAGCATCCGCACATATCCAGCACGAAGCCGAAGGAGCAGTACTTGACCATCGACCTCTTCTCGCAGGTGGCCTGGGCGCAGGGCACGCACGACAGCGCCCTCACCCTGGGGGGGGGGGGGGGTCCTGCTAACCAGCAAATAATCTAACTAACAAACCAACGCTACCAAAAACCTAACCTACTTGGCGGAGGTTATAATAATAATAATGATAATAATGATATTAATGATAATAATAA